TTTTTTTTTTTTTTTTTTTAAGACAGGGGTCTCGCTCTGTTGCCCAGGCTGGAGTGTAGCATTGCAATCACAGCTCACTGCAGCCTCAACATCCTGGGCTCAAACGATCCCCCCATCTCAGCCTCCCAGTAGCTAAGATTACAGGTGCACACCACCACACCTGGCTAATTTTTTTTGTTTGTTTGTTTGGGGGGCAGAGTCTTGCTTTGTTGCCCAGGCCTGGAGTGCAGTGGTGTGATCTCGGCTCACTGCAACCTCCGCCTCCCAGGTTGAAGCAATTCTCCTGCCTCAGCCTCCTGAGTAGCTGGGATTATAGTAGGCATGCACCACCATGCATGGCTAATTTTTGTATTTTTAGTAGGGATAGGGTTTCACCATGTTGGTCAGGCTCGTCTCGAACTCCTAACCTCATGATCCACCTGCCTCAGCCTCCCGAAGTACTGAGATTACAGGCATGAGCAACCGCACCTGGCCAACACCTGGCTAATTTTTTTTTATAGAGATGGGGTTTCGCTATGTTGCCCAGGCTGTACTTGAACTCCTGTCTTCAAGCAATCCTCCCCGCTCCCAAAGTGCCGGGATTACACTCCCTTTGGCCTCCCAGAGTGCTGGGATTACAGGACTGAGCCACTGCACCAGCTTTGGATTTCTGACCAGGAGAGGAGGGAACCAGGGAGGGCTACCAGGAGGTGGGCGCTGAGTGGGTAATAACAAGGAGGTGGGCGGGGCAGCGGGGACCCTCCTTCCCCAGCATTCTGGGTCTGAGAGGCAGCTCATGGGGGGCTCCTCCAGGGTGGGTGGGGCCCAAGGAACTATCCTCAGGAGGTTCTCCCAGGTTCCAGAATCCCAGCCTCTCAGACACTGGCCCATGACAGTGGGTAAATGAGAGAATAACAGCTCACCCCTGTTAAGCACTTATGGCCAGGCACTGATTTTGGTGCTTTTTGCTTGGTTTCCTTGCTCTTTTTTTTTTTTTTTTTTTTTGAGGTTGAGTCCCGCTCTGTCGCCCAGGCTGGAGTGCAGTGGTGCGATCTCAGCTCACGGCAACCTCTGCCTCCCGGGTTCAAGCGATTCTCCTGCTGCAGTCTCCCAAGTAGCTGGGTTTACAGGTGCCCCCCACCATGTCCAGCTAAATTTTATATTTTTAGTAGAGATGGTGTTTCACCATGTTGGCCAGGCTGCTCTTGAACTCCTGACCTCGTGATCCGCCCGCCTTGGCCCCCCGAAGTGCTGAGATTACAGGAGTGAGCCACCATACACGGACTTGCTGTGTTTTGTTGTTGTTGTTGTTTTTTCTTAAAGATATAATCCACATTGGCTGTAGTGACTCACACCTGTAATCCCAACACTTTGGGAGGCCAAGGTGGGCGGATCACCTGAAGTCAGGAGCTCGAGACCAGCATGGCCAAGATGTGAAACCCTGTCTCTACTAAAAATACAAAAATTATCCAGGTGTGGTGTCAGGCACCTGTAACCCAGCTACTCAGGAGGCAGGAGAATCACTTGAACTCGGGAAGCAGAGGTTGCCATAAGCCAAAATTGCACCACTGCACTCCAGCATGGGCAACAGAGTGAGACTCCATCTCAAAAAAAAAAAAACCAAAAAACCCAAAAAACATGACTCACATATCCTACAATTCACCCATTTAGAGTGTACAATTTAGTGGTTTTTTAGTAGAGACTGGGTTTCACCATGTTGGCCAGGATGGTCTCCATCTCTTGACCTCGTGATCCACCCGCCTCAGCCTCCCAAAGTGCTGGGATTACAGGCTTGAGCCACCGTACCTGGCCAGGCCTGTGTTTTTTAATTTTTAAAATTCTTCTAGAGGGTCGGGTGTGGTGGCTCACACCTGTAATCCCAGCACTTGCAGAGGCCGAGGCAGGTGGATCACCTGAGGTCAGGAGTTTGAGACCAGCCTGGCCAACATGGTGAAACCCCATCTCTACTGAAAATACAAAAATTATCCAGGCTTGGTGGCGGGCACATTGTAATCCCAGCTACTCGGGAGGCTGAGGTTGGAGAATCGCTTGAAGCTGGCAGGCAGAGGTTGTCGTGAGTCGAGATTGTGCCACTGCACTCCAGCCTGGGCAACAGAATGAGACTCCATCTAAAAAAAAAATTTTTTTTTCTAGAATTGGGGTCTTGCAATGTTGCCCAGGCTGGTCTTGAACTCCTGGCCTCAAGTGATTCTCCTGCCTCGGCCTTCCAAAACTTTGGGATTGCAGGTGACAGTCACCACACTCAGCCATCTTTCTTTTTTTTGTTTTGAGACGGAGTCTCACTCTGTCACCCAGGCTGGAGTGCAGTGGCATGACCTTGGCTCACTGCAACCTCCGTCTCCCAGGTTCAAGCAATTCTCCTGCCTCAGCCTCCTGAGTAGCTGGGATTACAGGCACACGCCACCACACAAGGCTAATTTTTGTATTTTTAATAGAGACGGGGTTTCACCATGTTGGCCAGGCTGGTGTTGAACTCCTGACCTCAGGTGATCCGCTCGCCTCGGCCTCCCAAAGTGCTGGGATTATAGGCGTGAGCCACCGCGCCCGGCCAGCTTTGCCTTTCTCAACTCACAGTCTGATGGCAGAGACATGGCCTTGTCCACAGGAGCCCCCAGTCTGATGGAGGAGTTGTGGTTCTCACTTCAGGAACTTCCATTTGATGGGAGAGATGCGGCCCTACCTTGAGGGGTTCCCACTCTGATGAAGGAGACATGAACCTGTCTTCAGGAGTCTCCAGTCTGATGGGGGAGGCAGGTCCAACCTTCAGAGGCCCCCTGTCTAATGCAGGAGACATAGCCTTGACTTCAAGCATCCCAGAGTAATGGAGGAGACACAGGCCTGCCTTCAAGGGTCCCCAGTCTGAAGAGGGAGGCATAGTCCAAACTTCAAGCGTCCCCAGTCAGATGGCAGAGGCATGGTGTAAACTTCAAGGGCCCCAGTCCAACACGGAAGGCATGGCCCCAACTAACTCACAAGGTCTCAGTCTATTAGAGGAGACGTGAGCCTTCCTTCTAGAGGCCCCTATCTGATGGGGGAGGCATGATCCAGCCCGTCCAGGACTCCAGTCTGACACGCAGGCAATTGCAGTGGAGTTGCAGTGGGGCGGATAACCAAAGGCATGGCCTTGGAGCCTGGAGATTCAAACCCGGGCCCTGTCCCTCCCTCACCCTGGAGGTTGAGGAGCCTCCCTTACCCATAAATGGGGCAGCAACAGAGCGTGTCCCCGGGGGTGTTTGTGGACCGAGTGGGTGGTGTCATCCCATTCCCAGATAAGGAAACAGGCTCAGGGAGCCCCAGGTTCACACGGCGTGGGCCCCTCTTCTCCTGTAAGCCCAGGCTGGGGTGGCAGTGGGCTCCAGCGGAAGGGGATCCCATCACCCCTCCTCCCCATCCCTCTGATGTGCTCCGGCAGCCAGGCAGCCCCGGAGGAGTTGATGGAGGAGATCTCAGATGAAGGCTGACAGCTCCCGAAGACAGGATGACAGACGCGGGCTGGTGGGGAACGGGTACTGTCGGCAGGGATGGGGGAAGGGCAGGCTTCAGAGGGTGAAGGTAGGGGGCGCTGGGAGGTGGGGCAGGGCAGGGAGGGGTCCCCCACTGGTCAGGAGGGACAGAGCCCGATGCATGGCTGTGCCTGCCCCTCGACTCCCTCAGCCCTGGGAACCCCCAGGAGTGAACTGGGAGCCGACAGCAGAATTGCCCCTGGGACGCAGGGTGAGAGAACAAAGCTTCCCAGGGAAAAAAAAAGAAATAAAAATAAAATTCCAGTGATGTATGAAAGAGTGGCGTGTGGGAAGGGAGGAGGTGAAACCTGGGGCTCCCTGAGCCTGCTTCCTCACCGGGGAATGGGGTGATGCCCACTCAACCCATTTGTGAGCATGCACAATGTGCCGGCTGGTTTCAGTGTGCTGGGTTGCACCAATTTTTTTGAGATGGAGCCTCACTCTGTTGCCCAAGCTGGATGGAGTGCAGTGGCACGATCTTGGCTCACTGCAGTCTCCGCCTCCTGGGTTCAAGTTACTCTCCTGCCTCAGCCCCTGGAGTAGCTGGGAATATAGGCGCCTGCCACCACACCCAGCTAATTTTTGTATTTTTAGTAGAGACAGGGTTTCACCATGTTGGCCAGGTTGGTCTCAAACTCCTGACCTCAAGTGATACACCTACCTCGGCCTCCAAAAGTGCTGGGATTATAGGCATCAGCCACCACGTGTGGCCCAAATAAACTTCTACTGTGCATAATGTACCCCATCTGTGGTGTTCTGCGAAAGCAGCAGCAGATGGACAAAGATAGAAGCTGCAGACAAGGTCTGTGTAGGTAAGAAACTGAGAGTGTCTTGTGGCCAACAGCCGTGAGGGACTGAATTCTGTCAACAACCACAAAGGTTTGGAAGCAGGTCCTTCCCCAGTTGAGCCTTCAGATGACACCCCAGCCCGGGCCTGTGTCCTTTTTATTTTTTTTTCTTTGAGACGGAGTCTCACTTTGTCCCCCGGGCTGGAGTGCGATGGCACAATCTTAGCTCACTGCAACCTCCACCTCCTGGGTTCAAGTGATTCTCCTGTCTCAGCCTCCCAAGTAGCTGGGATTACAGGCATGAGCCACCACGCCCAGCTAATTTTTGTATTTTTTGTAGAGACAGGGTTTTGCCATGTTGGCCAGGCTGGTCTTGAACTCATGACCTCAGGTGATCTGCCTGCCTCGGCCTCTGAAAGTGCTGCGATTACAGCCATGAGCCACTGCGCCCAGCCTGGCCTCTGTCTTGACTGAATCCTTGCTAAACATTAAAGCAGGAGACCCAGTGAAACCACACCCAGCTCTCTGTTGTTTTTTAAGTTGCTCAGTTTTGGAATAATTTGTTACGCAGCACAAGAAAACAAACAGAGGGAGAGGTGAGCAATAAACACGCCCCCCAAGGCATCCTCTCTGCACCCTCTTAGAACTCACTTACCTGCTTTATTTTCATCATAGTCATCACCACTTTTGGTATACATTAATTTTATTTATTTGTATGTTATTGTAAAACTTAATACATAGAAGTTTCTGTGGCTGGGCGCAGTGGCTCACACCTGTAATCCCAGCACTTTGGAAGGCTGAGGTGGGCGAATCACTTGAGATCAGGAGTTTGAGACCAGCCTGGCCACATAGTGAAACCCCATCTCTACTAAAAATA